TTTGGGCCGAGTTCGTGCATTGTTAGAACCACTCTTTCGCCAATGACTTGGTGGTAGGGGTATAAATGAGCTGAGCATTATTGGAGTTGCCCTAGTTTTGAGTGTGGATCATTTGATTTGTCTTGTTTGTGCTCAATTCATATTTGATTATATAATACTACATGATTATGTTGGATTTGATTTAGTCTTATTAAGCATGAAGTATATTAAATTTTAAGGATTATATGGCAATACATACAAGTGCTAAATCTCATATTGTGAAACTCCTCAAATAAAATTAAGTTGAACTCTTAGGCATTGAGGTGTTTTTTGGCGTAATGTTTAGAATTTTATTTGAAACTCTTAAAATTAAGTGTGTTCGTGCGAGAGCACTTTTGGGTCTGATGACCTCCTGAGAAGTTACAATAATGAGACAATTGTGAGGCCATTAGCTAAAGTGAACAATATCTTGATTGGTGAGAGTTCGATTTGTTGCGAATGGTATCAGGGCGTTACATCCTCTTAAACCTTAGATGAGACAAAATGCTACATGGTAGGAATCACCTATTGAAGCTATCAATAAGGTCTGCGTCTAAAATCTTATAAGCTTGGTGGATGATTTTAACTAAAAATACTAAAGAGTACATCAATTACTTAAGAGATTGTGAAACTTGGAAGTAAAATGACACTAAAGCTTTTTTTTTATTTAGAAAATGCTCAAATAATTTGTAGTCGTTTTCTAAGTTCTTGTATTATTTTCAAATTGAAATCGCCTAGGCTAGCCACTTGCCGCTACAGCCGATGAAAAGGAATTTATATTTAGGTCCAACTAGGACCAACTATATTCTCATGCAGTATTCGGTAAAACCAGACGACCAATATTTAGAATATCAAACTTGTTTTAACTTCATAAGAAGCCATAATCTAAACAAAATAAAAAGGAAAATTTGCATATATACCACTCAGTTCCTTTGCATTTACACATACATCCCCTTATCTATGCCTAAAAATTGTATTTCAGTTTTTAAAAGATAAATGGTGGTATTTTGGATGTGATATGCAAGATTTACATGATATACATATAAAAATCAAAGTATAGGTGTTAGATATGTAAATACATAGGATAGGATTTAGGTGGTATGTATATAAATGCCCCAAATAAAAAAATATTAACTAAAATAAATAAAAAATATCCCCAATTACCTCTACAGAAATAAGCTTGACACTCAACAATCATGTCGAACTCGAACTTATTTGCTATGAAATGTAAGGTTTGTTTAGGGCAGCTGCAGTTTATTGAATAATATGCTGAAAAACTGATTTAAAATAATCTGCTAATAAGCTAGGTGCGGTGACTATTACAATTTTTTATTTTTTTTGAAAAACCCAAACTGCAGCCAAAAAGCTGTCACTGCACCTAGATAGGTGCGCTGTGAAAAAATTGTTTTCAACATTTTAAAAACGCATAAGCTGCCAAAACGCAGTTTACCCAAACAAGTCAGGTGCGTTTTCAAAACGTCACTGCACCAAAAAAACTGCCCTAAACGGGTCCTTAGTCTCAGGCCGACATCATTTTGTTTATGGCATTCAACATGCAATGCATCATTCATCAGTCATTTCTTCATCATATCCTCACATTTTTTTTTCTCTTAGCATGAGAATTGGAGGAAAAGAAAAATGAGATTATATAAACTACCCAAAGCAGGAATTTTACATTAAATGATATTCTCTTGTTTTTTTTAAGGAAGATTTATATGCATACCACTCAATTCTTATGTATTTGCATATATAACACCAATACTTAATTCTTACATACATACCTCCTTATCTATGCATGAAAAAGGTGTATTTCATCGTTTTAAAATTAAAATGATGATCTTTTCTTTGGGATATGAAAGGAATTGTTTTTTTAAGGTGTATTTCACCTTCTGGTGGGGACAGGAATTGGGGGCCTGTTTATAAAAAAAAATTACTGATTGCTTATACGTTCTTCCTTCCATTACATTTTCAGCTCATGAGTTTGCTTTTTGCTTTATGTTTCTATTAGATCCCTAATGTTGAAATAATACAAATGTCTTCAGGAGTCGTATCATACATCTGAAGTGAGAGATGGTTTGCCCAACAATAATATACATTTTCCTTGCTTGGAAAACAAAAAAGATCCAACTTCAAAGAAGAAAAAAATATCATTCCGGAATCTTTGGAGATCCCCCTCTGCCACACCAAAACTGGCAAAAAAATTTTCGATTTACAGTGAGTTCTTTCGACTCCCAGAAGAATATGCACATCTCTGTACATTTTCTTTTGTTCTTGCAATATCATTATTTATTATTGTTTGCAAAATTCATTTAGAAGTCTCCCTTTTCTTCTGCAATGCCCTATAGAGCATCTACTTCGGCAGTATTAAGTCCCCCTGGTTTAGGATTTGAACTCTACATCTGGCAACTGTTGCCTTAAGTAGGGTTGTCAAAATGGATCGTTCGTGAAGAACTCATGTTTGGCTCATTTTTCCTCGAAATACTACCCATCAATTATATATATATAAGTGTATGAATATATATAATAAATTGAAATTATTAATTAAAAAATAGAATAAAAATATATTAAAATATATTAAAATGATGTTTTAATATAAACAATAAGATATAAATCTTCCCCAACCCTAAACATCCTACGGGCTGCATGATTAGAGTTGTCAAAACGACTTTTTGCTCGCGAACAGCTTGTGTTCGGTCTGCTATGCAAACGAGCAGAACACGTACACATTTTTTTTTTATGAACAGCTCGTGTTCGACTTGTTTGAGCCGAATACCAACACATTTTTTAAACTTGAAATATAAATGAGCCGGGCACGAGCTAAGCTTGGGCTTGCTCGTGTTCAACTCATTTACACCCCTAGCCTGAAAGGAAGGGGTACTTGAGTATTTAGTCGGGGCTTGTATGATATTCTTGCGCATGACAGATTGTAGGGGCTCATATGATAGCCTTCGACCAATCCTTTTTTAATATATATATATATATATATATATATATATATGCACTATTCTTTTGAAGATTATATAACATAATTGAAATGTGTAACGATTCTCTTAAGCTTAATGAAAGAGTACAACTTGTTTGCGTCATTCTAGGAAACAAAATCATGCCCCAGGACTATAATTTGATGGGGTCATTTACATTCATGGCAGCTATTTCTTAAAAAAGTATATAAATATTTCAAAACAAAATTTATCTTTTAATGTACAAATAAAATGGCATCTATGTTAAAATTGTGTTAAATATGTAAATACATAAGAATTGGGTGCTATATCTTCTTAATTTAATTATATCTAATATAATTGACCATTAAAGAAAAAACGACCCACGCGAACCTTCAATGCCCACACACGATGGGCTACTGTGCACATGAGTCCAGCTTAACAACTATTTCATATTATTTTTTTCAATTAAATTATTTGAATAACAATTATGATGAAATTATTAATAGAATTAGTAGAATATAATTCGGAAGCAGTAAACCTTACGCGTTTGTCGAATTATAAATGTTACTTGCATAATCAATCAAATATAATACAGCAATTAATAATGCCTTCTGAGTGTATTTAATATGATAAAACACATTTTACCCAAAACAAAAACAAAAATTACATATTTGTACCATTTGTGCCTTAAAGAAGAAATCATGACAAAAAAATTTAGATACTACAAAAAAAGTAAATAGGTTTAAATTTCAGTTCACAGACCACTCAATTCCTATGTATTTGCATATCTAACTCCTAGACTTCAATTTTTACGTAATATTTTTTAAAATGTAGATGTTAGATATGTATATACATAGGAATTGGGTAATTACTTAACATGTTAGTTGCACAGATGACCAAAAGGAGCCATTTTTTATCATTTTTATTTTTATTTTTTTCCGCAGGAATGGTTAATAAAACATTTAAACCCTTGAAGAAAATAACCACAAAAGCAGGTAAGACAAAGGAGAAAATTTTGTTTACATTACAGGTTATTCAGAGGGTATTGCGGGGTTATAGGTAGGTTAACATCTCTGTAACTTACCTATAACCCCCCCATACCCTCTGAATAACCTCCGACGTACGCAAATTTTTCTCAAGACAATGAGAGGGGGAAAGAATAATATATTAAAAGCTGGAGGGATCGCCCCTCTTCGTATAATATAATATCAAGATGAATATTATTTTTGAAAT